CGGGGCGGAGAACTTCCTGCCCAGGTTGGCGGACTGCGTCACCTAAAGATGACGAGGGCGTCAAAAAACGATTTCGAGACCAAAAGAGCAGCCCATCCAAACACTCAACTAGACGGGCCTGAATGAATTATAAATCCCTATATGAGGCTGCCACATATTTCACTTGGGTTGTTAGCGGAGAGTTTTTTTTTCTTCCCCTAAATCAAATCATCAGTTCGACTTATTTTTAAAGATGAGTTGAAAGTGATCAAGTATTTTCGGATCATCGCTTGGGGTACCTCATAGCTGTGTCCTTGTGCTGGGGCCTGCTGCAGGTGTTTGGTGCTCTTCTTACCCTGGGAGTCGAAACAAAACCATCGCTTAGTTCACCTAAATGCACGATTCTCTGCTTTGTTGTGAGAAAAAAAAAAAAAAAAAAAAAAAGGACCTGTGAGAGGTCTCTGGCCCAGTTGTCCACCAGTTTATGGAGATCATCGGTGAACGTCCCTTTGCGCTGGTGAGGGGCCGATACGCTGAGACACTGGGAGCCCCCCTGGCTCTGAGACAGGGGGGCGGAGCCACTCACTGCATTGGTGCTGTTGGTCCCTGTGACAAAACGGTCAAGGCAAGAGAGTGAGACGTCACAATGGTGCTTCGGGGTAACCCGGAATGACTTTTTTCGTCGGATTACGAAAGAAGGCCAATGTGGAAGTTATTTTGCTGGTGCATGCATTTGGATGGAGGTCAATTCGGGTACTTCAAGCCTTTTGTCATGCGAACCACCAGTAGCCGTGGCATAACTGAATCAAACGAAAGCGTGAGGATGAATGGAAAGCAGAAGTGGGGCAGGGGGGAAGAAAGAAGAAGAGATAGTTACTACAAAGCTGGTTGCAGGGGCAGACTTTTTTCACCATCTTCCCTGCGCGGCACCCAGAAAGCAAGAATGGAAGGAGCGGGAGAGAGTGGATAGTTAAAACCCAGAAAGCGGATTGAAATTTCAGATATACGCCATGACATCAGCCTGAGTGAAATGAATGTATCTGAGCCCTCGCCGCAGCTTGTCAACTAAACTCAATACCGGATCGGCATTCAAGGAATGAAAGCGTTACACACAAAGAGCCAAGCAGGGCGTACTCAGAAAGCGCGTCCTCCTGCCGCCGGGCTTCAAGGCCAAACGCTCGGAACCCCAGGTGAGCTTTACGCAGCCTGAGTGGGGAGGTGAAGAGGCGGGGGCGGGTGGCGGTGAAGAGGAAAAGAAGAATGGGGAGGGAGATGGGAACAGAGTGCAACAAAAACAGAGACGGCAAAGAGAAAAGACAGTGAGGAAAAGTGGAGCATCGTGTTGAAGTGAGTCACCACACGCGAGCATGCTTTGCGTGTGAGCAAAGGGGACCTCAGACCGGGTCTTGATTTTCTCAAGCCTACCTGGGGTGGGAGCGCACAAGCTGGGCGCCGAGAGCGTCGCCGAGCTGGGATAGGCCGAGCACAGGATGTCGCCGGAGGGAGCCGCTTTGAGGGGACGCTCACTGCCGCATTCGCCGCCGCCGGGATCGGCTAATCCTCCCGCCGCTAACTGAGCCGGCTGGCCGGTGCACAGCGCCGGCACGCTCTGGGCCGACGGGGCGCTGCCTGGAAAGAGCGGCAGGCGGGCAGGGCGAGCGAGGCGAGGGCGAGAGCGGAGACAAGGCGGACGTCCAAAACACACACGCAGACAGACACACGGGAAAAAAGATGGTGGGGGAGAGGGGAGGCGGTCAGAAATGTTCAAGCCCGGAGCCTGCGGCAGCACCCGCCCGCGCGCACGTGGAACCAAGCGGACGCACGTAAACACACACAGTGCGCGGCGTTAAAATCTTGCAATGGCTCGAAACGCGCAGGCAAAAGTAGACGTGGATGGAAAAGGCGACACACCCCTGTTCAAATGCCTGTTTTTTTTTTTTTTGAATGGGAGTCACACACCTGCCACTTTTTGAAGTCCATCCGATTGACCTGAAATCAAGATTTAGTTGGCTTTCCTGACGTATTTTTTTTTTTTTTAGCAGAAGCTAAATGTTTGGTGCACACCGATTGCCACTTTGAACTGTTCATAATTCTCTCCGCCTTGTCGAAGCCCCCGGTTGGACCATAACGCATTTCGGGAGACTTTCTCACGGTCCAACGAAAGCAAAGTTGAACTTTGGAGCCGCAATAAGGAAATGAACAGCGTGGGGCTATTTTGCTTTCGCTGCAAGTGGGAATTTTAGCCAACGTGGAAGGAATTACGACGAGTTCCAAAAAGCCTACGAGAACATCTGATCTTGAAATGGTGGCAGCTGTGTCCTCGCATTTGACATGAACTGGCGTCCGCATTATTTCAGTTATTTTGAATTCACCTTGAAAAGAAAAAAAGAGGAGCGTGTCGACTTTCCATATCCACTGAAGGTCTTCCGAAATGAGCGTTAAATCGCAAGTGCGCTCACCTGGCTGAAGTGGACTCCTGCTACCGTGTGACGAGCTGGTTCTGGACGATTTGGTGGATTTGCTCTTGGGGGGTCGCCGCCGCCTGCCAGCCAAGGCGACGACGGGTGGGAGGACTGCGGCTGGAGGAACCTGCAGGCCCGTGAGCAAAGATATCACTTGCTGGAAAAGCTCCATTTTCTAGCCTTTTCACTTCAGTGTCATTTACCTTTCCCAGCCTGGTGAACAGACCGTCAATTTCCTCCTTCTGGCGCGAGTGGAGGGCCTGAATCTCACTCAAGTGTCTGGTGGGATAAAAAGAAGAAGATGAGTTCAAGGCTCGGCGAGCCTCCGCGAGAAGCGCGGTCTCACTTTTCACGCAGGCGGTTGATTTCCCGCTTGAAGTCCTCGTCCTCGAACTCCGAGTCGTTGTCGCTGCTCACGTAGGAGTTGTTGAAGGAGTTGCTGCTGTTCAGACTGGGCAGGGTCACTTTGCGGGCAGCGTCTGGACCCGGGAGACGGCCGGGGTCGGCGGGTCCGTTCGCCGCCCGGGCGGCGGGCGGCGGACTCGGCCCGGGCTCGGCGCTCTGCTCTCGGGCCCGACTGACGGAGAACCTGCCAACTGTGGCCTCAGCATTCGTGGTGACCTGGATGAAAACACAAGCAGGTGGGATTTACAAAATCGAAAATAGTTCAAAGTCAGAAAGTTTCTTACCTGGAAGCGTCCGATGGTGGTGGTGGGTTTGGGCGAGAGGCACGGGGATGCGGGAGGGGAAGGGCGTCGGGACCCACTCAGCATTTTCCCGGGCAGTCCATCCACCACATCTGCCTGTGCGCCTTCCACTCGCAACGAGGAGCCCTGATGCAGCGTGTTCTCCGGGCTGGAGAGACCGCACGAGGACGACGACGAGGAAGCGCTGGAGGACGACGAAGTCGTCGTCGCGGAGGAGGATTCCGTGCAGGCCGGACGCTGCTTTGGAGGCTCTTCGGTGGCCAGCGAGACCTTCGCAGCAGCATAGCGACTCTTGTGAAATAAGCGCGAGGAAGCGGGAAGTGGCACGCAGCGTTTCAAACCTGAAATCTCCCGAGTTTGATTCCACTTTGAGGAGCGGCGGCAGGTGAGGGGGTGTCTTCCTTCGGGGATAAGGAAGCTGAAAGTTCAACGGCACGTCCAATGATGAGATATTGGTGACAGAAGACCCGCAAAGAGCAAGTCACGATACATACTTGGTTGTCCCACCGGATGAACGGCACTCTGGGAAGCCTGAAGTGAACACGCAGGACACAAATTATTAGAAGTGTGGCGGTAAAATGGGTTTTGTCTGTTTGGTTACCTGTGCGGATGTGCTAACCGGGACGTTCTCGGGGCTAAGGGCCCGTCTCAGCTGAGCATCCAGGTCCTCCAGAGGCTGCTGGGACTACCAGCGAGACAAGAGATCATTACTTTTCATGTTGATTGACAGACATCTATATATAGTATCATATTATAAAGTGCTCTTTTTATTATTAGCATTACATTCTTTTTTGGGGGGGTTGGAAAAAAATTGAATGGCAGTCGAGAACATTTTAATCCAAGACGACACGTTTCCCCCCCACGGGAGTTCCGTAAAAGGCTGCGAGTGAATGTCAGCGACGGCCGCGTTTTTATTGAGCGCTCCCAGTTGGACTATTTTTAGACAAGCGGCGGCCCTCACAGACACACCTAAAGAGTCCAAGGAAATAAAATGATGTGTCAGGTAGTCTGTCAGCGAGTGCCTCTTTCGCCTCAGATGTCAATTTAAAATTCCCCGCGTCAATGGTTATCGCTTGGCATCACCCACCCAGGCGTCGTAAAATAATCAACGTTAGTAAAAGCAGTAAGATATTATGGAGACATACGGCAGTCTTGAATAGCAGCAAAAACAACAACAACACCTGAGTGAGACACGGTCCAGGGAAGGACGGCGGGAGTTCTGAAGAAGGAGAACTGGCCTAATCCCGGAGAGGAAAATGGGAGAGATGAGATTTGCAGGGTGGGGGGGGGGTCAGTGAACTTGCATGCGAGATGAGTCGTGAGGAAAGGAAAATGTGTTAATACATGATGAGCTTTATCTTTCAAGGTTAATTGGCAGTGTTACAATCCGACTCCCATTCAAGAATAACTTCCGATATTTTGCAATACAGTGATGCTTTGAAATGCGGCGTGGGACCCAACAAGAAACGAGACGATTTTTGGTCTCTGATCTGTGAGCAAAAATTTGCGTGCTGGTGGCAGTCAACAATTCTTAAAACAAAAAAACATGGAACAACACGTATCGACAGATAATACTCACAGGCATATGTTCTTTATCCTCGGCAAAATACGACTAATATTACTGCGGCTTATTCAACTCCCAACTCAAGGCACCACTGTAAAATTGAAACAACCATTCGAATGTATCGCAAAAGCACTCACCGGTACCCTGGACAAAGGGGTTTTGGATGGAGTGGTCTGGCCAAAGGTGGTAACAGAGTTCACTGGAGGGAATGGTAAAAGTTACATTGCTGAATTAGACGTTTGAGGTTAGTCATTTTAAAAGACGTACCAGCAGGTGCAGGAGTGGAGTTCGGTGTGCTGGGGCCCTGCACGGGGGTGGGTGACCCCAGCGCCAGGGTAGTGGGTGGCTGCGGAGGACTGGCCGTCTGGCCAGTGGAGGTGCCCAACGGGGAGGAGGTACCCCCCGCTGACGCTCCGGAGGTAGCGTCGGCCGGCAGCGGGTCCCCCTGGGGGGAGACCACCCCTCCCCCGAGGTCCATGAAGAGCGAGCGCAGCTTCTTCTCCAGAGCTTGGATGTCATCTGGCTTGCTTTGGCACTCCATGGAGGCATCGCACCTGGGAGGAATGCCATCGAATTGCGCAACCAATTCATTTCCTGCTCAACGGCGCCCCGAGAAAAACTCACCTCGAGTCACATTCCCCGCAGTGAGCGTGTGTCTGCCCGGGCAGTGCGGCGATCTGCGGCTGTGAGTGTACCAGGGTGGGGTGGACTGAAGAAACATTGGAGGACGAGGATGGGGGAGCGGGGCCGGCGGTTGTGGGGACGACGGAGGAAGAGGTGGATGAAGTCGATGGCGTGGGAGAGAGCGAGCAATGGTCGAGTGGCGCTTCGCTGGCCGGGAGAGTGGAGGAGGGTGAGGTCGCCAGGGAGGCGGGAGGCGACGCGACCATCGTCGGAAGGACGTTGGAGACACTGGTGAGGGGTAAGACGGACGGGACGGAAGTGGAAATGGACGCGTGGGCCTGCGAGTGATTCACCACGGCGGAAGAAGCGGAGGCGGAACAAGCGGGAGACGCATCGGACGCATCCTGGTTTGACCTGGAAGGAGTGGCACCGCCGGCTGAAGTTTCGACCACAGGAGCGGACGCTTGTGATGGGGCGGAGAACGACGGGGGATGGGTGGAGCGCATGCAGGCTGGGGCGGTGCTTGGTCCCGGATCCAACTGGTTTTTGTTCTGTCGCAGCTCCGAGAAGGCTAGCTGTAAGCTGACAGCTCCCGCCGATTTTGACAACCCCAAACCTTGAGTCGGAACTGGCAAAAAAAAAAAAAAAAAAAAATCTCGTTGTTTGAGTTGGGTTCGGTGATAAATAATTGATTTATCAATCAAATTGATGATTCGCTGCACCCGACAATGAGTGGATGCTGGTTCAGGAGGTCGCGTAAATTGCTCACCGGTTTCGACAGAAGATGCAGGGGAAGGTACGGGCGAGGCAGGAAAGCTCAGTTCCTTGAGCCTGTCCTCGGGAACGGGGCTGACTATGAATTTGCGGCCCGCTGAATGGACCACTTGTCCCGTCGCGCTCGGGGCGGTGTCTAAACAAACACAGTTGGTTTGTGCATCGACAAGCCACAAAGCTCCGTTTCATAATGATGATGATCACCTGGCATGGGGACTGATATCGTCAGATTCTGCTCTGTCATGTTACCGGTCATCTGGAAGTCAATCGAAAGCAATTTAACGGTGAACTGCATGATGACGCACCAGCGTTGACCTCACCTGGCCGCTCGAGTCCCTCTCCAGGCCTTTTTCGTCGGCGTTCTCGATCACCTCCCGGACCTGCTCGATGAATGAATCCCTCTCGCTCTCCAGGATGAACTCGCTCTGGACCTGGAGACCGCGACAGCGACTTTAAAACCCTCGCACGGGGCTGTTAAAAGCACCGCGGCATCACACCATGATCTGCGCTATCTCCTCCGGGTTGTCTCCATCCAGGTCGAACCTGAAGGTGACCATCTTCCTGTTGTGAGTCTCCAGCTGGCACTCGGCGACTCGATCTCCGCGGTTGGATATCTTCACATGGACACAAATATATAAAGGAGTGTCTCGAATGTTTTTTTTTTTTTTTTGCTTTTTCCAAATTACATTGAGGACGTTGAGTTTGGCTTTGGAGAACTTCTCGTGCCGCGACCGACTCCGCACGGAACGTCTCTGGTGCCGCTTGGCGGAGCGGCCCTCGTGACGGCCTCCCCCTCCTCCTTCATTGCCATCGCTGAGGCCCGAAGCCTCGGAGTAGCCACTGAAATGGTTGGGAAAAAAAAGACAAAAGGGGAGAAAAAAAACAACAACTAAGTAATAGCGCAACTAGAATTGCACATTTCGGGCGTGTCTCACAGATTATTACCTTTCTACGGAGGCTTGGACTAGCGGTGCCTGTAGCTGGAAGTGGGACAGGTCCGATGGTTGAGACACAGACTGAAATGAAAACAGAGTCAAAATACAAAAAAATATACAATCACATATAGACACTTAGCAGGATGAAATATTGAAAGAAAGCTACATTGACAAAGGACCCAAAGTTCTACTCGGAACCTCAGGGAGCAGGGACGTTTGTCGTTCTGCCGCGGCCGGTACCTGGGGAGGGGCTTCTGGAGCAGTTTCGGGCGGGGCGGGGACTACACTGATGATTGGCACCATGGTGGCCAACGGCGGGGACACGTGCGCGGGGAGAGGGGGAACAGGAAGCAGCAGAGGGCAGGGAGGGGAGGCCACGGCCGCTGTCGGCACGGTGACGGGAGGGGACGGCGAAGGAGAAGGAGCACGGCTCGCCGTGGTTGCGGGACAGGTGGGGGCGCTCGGGCCGGGCTGACGTGAGGAGGCGGAGGAGTCGGTAAAAAGGAGGAAGAGGAGACAGAAAAGGAAAGGTGAGTCAGGAAAGGGGATGGACTGAGGGAATGTGGCGGGAAAGGGAGGAACACGCACGCACGCACAGTACCGCTGAGGTTACCTGAACGAGTGCTCGCCGGTGGAGAAAAAAAATGCGTTCGATACTGGGAGATGGGCTCAGGTCACATGACTGAGCACACCCACAAGAGAGAGAGAGAGAGACAAACCCAACACGGGCGGCATGCCAACAAGCGCAAAAAAAAATGCAAAAAAAAAAAAAAAGGCAAAGAGAAGGGAACTGAGGTGAGGAGTGTGCGAGACGTCATTGAGTCGATCCACGGTATGGAGTGTACCTGTGTTGAGGCCTGCAGCGAGGAAATGTGGGTGGGGCTCTGAGATGATGACGCCACCGACTGGATGGATGCACCCCCCTGGAGAGAGGAATTCCAACAGTTTGTATGGCTTGGGAGCACGGAAAACAGAAAGGTTTCTTTTTCTTACCTGCTGGGGGGTCCCTTGAGGGGCCGGTTGTGGGGCCACTGGGCCTAACAGTGGGGAACCGGGGGCGGGCTGGGCCGTTGAGACCTGAGAGTTGCGGGAAAAAAAAAAATCTGAATCTGTGTGCGGCTTCCTGGTGTGGAAACACATGCGTGCAAACGCAAGCTACCTCTACTGGTCTACGTTTCGTTCTTGTGTATGCACACATGCGCGCGGACAGATCGCCCGAGCACAACGGGGATAAGACGCACACACACACGCCACGGGGACAGCTTGGAGCGCTCACAACACCGGGGTTAGGCTCGTTAGGCGGGGTTTCGTTCTCATGCGGGTTGGAAATTAATGGCGGTAATAATAAGCGCGTGTTACAGAAGTCCAACCTAAACACGATTTCCCACTTTCTTACCCTTTGTCCTCAAACGGTCAAAATCGCACTCGAATTGGGACTATCAGAGCAAAATGGACCCTTAGAAGGCTGCGTACAACGTTATACTTGTCAAGACAGGAGCTGAAACAAGTATAGTTGCGATACGAGAGCTAAAACGGACAATCAAAGAGCGGCACGACGGAGACAAATGATCGAAATGTCATGACAGAAAAGCCACAAACAATGTGAAATGATCCTATCAGCTTTCTAAGGGTTTTCGAGGAGTTGCAGCTGTAACCTTTGAAGCCTGCAAAAGATGGTGGGAACAAACAGGGAAAGCAAAAAAAAAAAAAAATAATAATAATAATAATAATAATAAAATAATAATAATAATCAACAACTGAATCGAAGTTGCAAAAAAAAAAAAAAAAATTAAAATCAATAAATACACAATAAAGTAATATCTGCACACTGAAATATTTAATCTAAGCCTCTGTGATTTTCGTGTACGTTTCGGTGTGTTTGTTCGCACAAATCGGCAAAGTCTTGCAGCTTTTTGGCCTTTGACCAATAAAATAAAGCCACTAAATTTTACATGATGCGATGCAGGCGACTTTGGATTTGCATCGTATTCAAGTATACCATACGCATGGCATACCTGCACAAACACACAGACAAATATTTACTACAAAAAAAAAAAAAAAAAAAAAAAGATGAGGCTTAGACTGCTTACGAAGCTGGCACAACAGGGCAAGTCTCAAGCCAACTTGAATGTCCCAACTAGTTACTTTGAGCAGTGTCACGGAATTCAGACGTGAGACATTGGTCAAGTGAGACGTGCTCTGTCGCGTCCGAGTGACTGGAGGGGGGGTTAAATTCACAACTTTGCTACATGATCGTCGGGATGTTGGTTGTTTTTAGGGTACCGGTACAACAAGAATCGCTCATGGGTCCAATTACCGTATCGCTCGTTTGCATGACGAGTTAACAATATTCATCAAGCAATCATCGCCGGTCTGTATTTTGAAGAGCAGAAATTTGGAAGAGCGCCGCGAGGTGGACGGCGACTGAAAAAGCACCGCGGGACCTTGCTGGCAAAAAAAAAAAAGACCTTTGAGTTCATGACAATTTGTCAAGCAACAATACTGCAATAATGCAATCGGACCCATGGCTTTTCGACTTGGAGAACGTTGAAAATGGGAACTCAGTACCAGTGCGGCGTTATTGGCCTGCATGGCCAGCAATGACTCATGGTACGTCATGTCGGCCTGGGAGGGAACCACCCCTCCGTGGCGGGCCCACGCACTCGGAATGAGTGACTCCTGTTGGGGCGCCGATACACCTGGCTCAGTGGCAGGGCTGGGCGGGAGAAAACTCTGCATGGAGGGCGGATGCGCCTGGCTTTCGGTCAAATCGCAGAAGGCAGCCGAGGACGACTGCGGGATGGACCGAGCGGCCGAGGGGTCGAAATGGCGAGATGAGGGAGGAGGCGACTGGAACTCTCCGGCATCGGAGGATGGGAGAGAGTCGCTGGAGGGTTCCGGGCTTCGGTCTTTCGCGCTAAAGCCTGCGTGATGGAGGAGGAGACTTCCCGGTGGTAAAGGCAGCTCAGGACTAACGTATGAACACATCTCCTCCGTGACCGGCTGGAGTCGAAGGTACGAGCCCGAGCCGCTCGACCCCGTTGGGGTGTTTTCCTCCAGCGGGAGATCCATGGAGCTCCTCCGGGCTCGGTAGAGTCTGGAGGCCAGGAGGCTCGGGTCACTGGCGGCGGCGGCGGCGGCGGCGGCTAAATGATAGTCGAAGACACTCCCCGGCGACGGCGGCGGCGGCGCATCGGCCATGACCGGCGGCGTTGACATCGCGTAAGTGGAAGGTGACGCGTGGTGCTGCGCGTCGGAGGATGGACAAGAAAGAGGGCAGCCGGCGGCTTGACTCATGGAAGGTACCGGCGGGGGGATGGGACTGTGCGCGTTCAGTCTTTGCATGATGTGAGAGTGAAAGAAGCCCGCCTGAGGACCCGACTCGTATCCGCTTGCCTCTGCTGATGGAAATTCAAAAGCCCGAGCTGGTGCGCGGTCATCGGGTAGCCGCCGTACGCCATGGCTTCGTAATGGTCCAGTAAGGCCGCTTGGTTTAAACTCAGTCTCCTCACCACTTCCTCCTGTTCCGCCCTCATGTCCTTGTAGCCGTAGAACGCCGGCTCTGACTGTCCCGCCGGATGCGGATGCTCCCCGACTCCGAGTCTCTGAGCGGCCGTGGCGAATCCGGGATTGTGCATGAAGAAAGAGGGCGTGTCCACGCCCTCCACGCCGGCGAAGGGGTGCAGGCTGCTCCCGTATCGGGGGTACGCCGGTTGAAAGTGGCGGGTGTGAGCCTCAAGTATAGAGGTGCTCTTGCGCCGCTGCGTGTTATAGGCCTTGGGGGGGCCAGTGGGAGGAGGCGAGAAGGAAATGGGGCGCTCGGGGATGGAAGAGAAGAAAATAGTCGGGGGGTCTGACAGTGTTGGGAGAGTGGCGCTCCCCCCTGTTCCTCCTCCTCCTGCGCTCGCTCCTCCACTGTAGGGGTGCGCCATTGAATGCTGCTGTGACAATGAGATACAGCGGGTTTAGGAATGACAGAAAGGCAGTACACCAAAGAGCAGTGTCTCTGAACAACAACGCCCCACAAAGGCAAGGACAGAAGAGAATATTCCAAAGAACAAAAAAAGAACGGATGAAGGAAAAATGAGGGGGAAATGGTATCTTAAAAAAGGAGGATGAGAAGGAAGGAGGCTGGAGGGTCAAATATTCGCTACAAGTTGATCAATCTTCGAATGCGTCTTCATTCAGAAAATCTTTTCGGATTAACCACACCCAAAGGAGCAGTGTGACTTTTTTTTTTTTTTTTTTTAAATTTAAGACTGGGGAGACTGGAATGGCTTACCATTCATTTCAATGCAGAAAAATGATTCGAGATCTCGCATGGACGCGGAACGAATTAAAAATTGTACCTCAAGGTACAATTTTATTACCCTTTTAAAAGACATTTTAGGGACCTGTAGATTCATTATTGGGTTTTTCCTTTTCCTTACACACTAACCTGTCCATGCCAGTCAATCTGAATTGAACATAATCCTTGTGCAAATTCAGCCGAAGAAGAGAGGGAGTGAAAGAGATGGCTCAGGCACCCAACGTGCCACATGACGTCTTCATGATCTCTTTCGCCCCAACTCTCTGCTTCTCACCACTCAAACTGTGGCGCAGCGGGACGAGGAGCTTCGAACCTACAGGGCTGGAGAAGAGGGCAGGCAGGCTGGCCCGTCGTTGCCTTGCCCTGGGCAGTGAGGGGGCGGAGTGAAGAGGAAGCACCGTCTCCAGGGCCTTGGAGAGGCGCCCGGCGAACGTGTCCCTCTCGGCCGAGCGAGGGGAGGCGGCGGCGAGCGAGGACGACAGCGCCGGAGGAGGTGTGGAGGGCCGCTTGGGGCGCGCCACCAGAGGTGTGGGGGTGAGGGAGTACGAAGAGGGGGGGACGCAAACGGACATGCTACGGCTTCGACGGCGGCGGGACGCCGGCTGTTGGATGGCAGGAAGGTTGGGGACGAAAAGGGAAAAGAAACAAGTGAAGATGCAAAGACAACAGCAACAAAATTGCAACTGAACCAAATGACACACAATGTACAATTAATAAAACAAAAATGCTGCTACATTTAAATTCAAGGAAGGTTGCAAACGAAGTCATTTCAAAATTAAATGTAAATGAAAACAAAAAAAAAGAGAGTATTCAATTTAGCGACTGAACAAGATTTTGGGATGCCGTTTGTTGACGATAGCGCGCGACCAAAGTGGGGATGCAAGTATTCTGCCCAACAACAACAACAACACGCAACAACAAAAATTCTGTGAAGGAAAACTTGAGTATGACACCCAACACATAAAAAAAAAAAAAAAAAAAAAAAAAACACGTACACATGACATTTAAATACATCTCAGTGAAAAAAAAAATGGAATAACATTGAACGACAGTCATACAATAATCCAAAACAAGGAGGCTGGATGGAGGCGAGAAAAATGAGACGAATATGGGACAGCCGGGAGTTTAAAACCTTCTGCTAGTGTTCTTGTGACTGATAAAATGAAGAACCAAACATGCTCAGCTCAAAACCACAAGCTCACACGCAGGCACTGCAATCCCGATCCCACTGCAACACGCCGCGTCACGTATCAGAGAGCGCTTCAGGTGAGATAAACGCCACTCACCACTGGCTGCGGCGGCTGGGCGTAGGCCGGGTGCTGCTGCTGCTGCGTGTTGGCGCCACCGCCGGGCGCGGAGGGGTATTGACTCTGGGACTGAGGCTGGCTGGCTGGCGGGCAGCTATAGGACATGGTCAGCTGACCCAGTTGGGGGCAGTCGCTGGAGAAAAGCGAAGAACCCTGACCGCTGTCGGCGCCACCTTCGTCTGAGATTGCAAAGTGAACAGAATGTCTTGACGTAGGGGAGATTACGAGTCGGCAAATGTGTGTCAAGTGTGAGTTTTACTTGTATGCGAGATGCCCGGCTGCTGATAAGGGTGCGCTTGCTCCGCCTCTGTCTCCTCAAGCTCCGCCTGGCAACAACAACAACAAAAAAAAAAAAACCCAAACAAACACATTAATATTAAGCTAAATTGACTCTTCTGGGGCAGCTATGTGGTTGTTTTCAATGCACCATGTCTAATTCTCTTTGTTTGATGTTTAGTTTGACAGAAAATGTCAACTGGTGGTGACAATGAACAGTTTGAAGCCTCTTTTTTTGGAAACTGAAGTTCAATTTTTGCTTGCAAAAAAAAAAAATTGATGCCTTTTAATGCCATTTAAGGCCGTAATTGTCACAAAATCAATTTAAATGACTTTTGTTTTTTTAATGACCCATGGAAACCCTGTTACAATAGAAAATGATGCCCGACACACCTGCGTATGCGATGCTTTCAGTGCCTCTTGCTGTTGCTCCGCCTCAAGTTTCCGCTTGGCCTGTTCTTCTCGCACGAGCTGCCTCTGCTCTCGCTTCCTGCGGATCAGTGACACGCGGTCCTTGATGGCTTTGGCCATGGTCTTGTGGTCGCCCTCGGCCACATAGCCAGACTCAACCTAGAGGGGGGGATGCGGTGACAACACTTGTAATTCCCTTCTGATTTAACCCAAACCGCCAATAGCTGATACCATTTCCTGGGCCACGTCTTCGGGAACATCCTTGTTGAGGTCAAACGAGAACTCGATGGCTTCGTTGTCTTTGTATTTTCCTGGAAACACGACGATAAAGTAAGGCAGTGGCTATCGAGTCGTTTTCAAATCAAGTATTCTAACTTTTGCAGGTGGGGTGCGGGTGAAATTCTTCATCTTATTCAATTCATTATGAAGGACGAAACATAATTCTTCTTACCTTTGAGCTTCTTGACGTCTTCTATCCGAAGCCACAGTTTGATGGCGATCATTACACCGTCATCCTCCTCTGCCAGCTCAACCCTGACCCCCGTGTCCTCTTGGAAGAACGCGTGGTTCAACAGGATCTTGATAGCATATCTGCAAGGGGGGAGAGACACAAGAGACTATTAGTTTATTTTGGAGGATTGAAGGAATTGAAGAAGCACACAATTGTACTGACTATCTGATGGACTAACAAGGCAGACATGGCATTTACTGTACATAATTAAAAGGGAACAACAAACACAATTAGCAATCCTCAGAAAAATGTTGAGCTTCAATCGGTCAGGCTGCGATAACCGAATTTGACAAAAAACAGCAGGAAGGAAAATAAGAGCGATATTTTGGTCACCGTGGAGTTAAATCAAAAACCGCCGGATGGGATGGGATGGGATACCTCTCATCTTTGTTTGTTCTGATGCAACCCTCGATGATTTCCTTCACTTCGGGAATGGCCACCTTATCAAAACTGCCAGGCTTCACTCCCTGCGTGCGAGTAAACAAGTTAACTCAATAAATTGAACCAATGCGCCTCCAGTTGACTGGAAAAAAACAAAAAACAGCGCAACAGCAAAAGAAATTCAAACAGTTGTAGAGATTGAGATGTCAAGTGGAACTTATTATGAAGCCCCCCAAAAAAATAATACCGAAAGACGTGAGTGACTTACCTTGAGCGTACCAAGCGAAGCGGCTTCGCTTTTGAGTCTAAAGTGTCTTAAGAGTGTTAACCAGCAATGAGCAAGAAATGACCACCTCCCCTCTTTTCTGTCATTGGCTGTTTTCGCTCTCGAGCTCCCTCTCTGTATTTCACAGTCGCCCACAAACACACACACCGAGATTCCCGGGCCAAACAACGTTAGGACTGATGGGCGGGGG